AAAAAACAATAATGATTTTATTTTTGAATAAAATATAAATTTGAAGATATCATAAAAGTTAATGTCAAATCAATTATTTAAAAGTTTTTATTTTTGATGTAATTTTTTTAATTTATTTTTTATTATAATTTAAATTTAATAATATAATATTTTATAAAGATAATAATTAAGTATTTTTTTAAAACTCGATAATTATCCTAATTATATTTTAGATTTTTTATATTTAAAATAAAATGTTTATCTTGTATTTGATTATGTTTATCTGCTATTAGTTACACGAATTGAGATATGAGATGAAATCGGATAGGGATGAAATTGTTTAGGGATGAACATGTTTAAGAGTTTTAAGAGTTTAAGAGTTTGTAAGAGTTTTAGCCAAATGCTTTATAATATAGTATAGATAGTATAGATTATATCATTAAATCTATATTAAATTAGTTCGTTACTAAATCTAAATTAAATTATAATAAAGAAATTGAATTAAGAAAATTACACCAAAAACAAGAATTTTTAAAAAAGTTAATGATATCAATTTTTTTTTCAAAATTTTGATATTTTCAAATTTATATTTTATTCAAAAATTAAAATCATTATCGCGTTCTCAAAACCATATAAAATCGTATTATATTGACATAAAAAATATGAAATAAAACACTGAAATTAAGATGTGTTTCGATGCATTGCATGAATACCTTCTAGTATTATATTATTTATGCCAAACAAGCTCTTATTTTTCTTTGTTTTATAAAGGGAAAAACCCATTCTACCTTTTGAAGCTGATGATAATAGGTTTATTGCTTGCATTTTCTACCTTTAGCTTATTATTTTTTATTTAATTTGATAAATTTATTGTAACCAAACAAAATCAAACCAACACAGGAGACCTCAATAGGATATAACAAAGAAGTATTTCCCTAACGACCTTCGGCTTGTACAACAAAAAAAATTATGGCCAAGAGAGTTCAAATACGGTGACTTCAGGCTACCCGTGAAACGGGTGGTCGCACTGAGATTAATCAGCTCGCATAGTGGGTTGGATATGCTTGCTGCATGCAATTGAGAAACCATGAAAAGATGTTTACCTTGACCATACTACATCCAAAAGTTAATGGTAGGAAGAGAATAAAGAGACCAATGAACATAAAACTGATGCCAAAAATTACATGGGGCAAAGTAGCATGATTCGGTTTGGTATGTACAAAAACCCTTCAAACAGCACAAGTTGAAAGAATGCTAATTTTTGTAACAAAATAAGGGAAAACATCTACACACAAATACAATTGCAGTTGACCTCTCATGTATTTAATACAATAATAACTCATCTCCTTTTTTGCCTTGAAAAACTTGGGGGCCCCACACCCACACCCACACCCTGCTTGCCTCCATAATTCCTGCTTGGAGAATCTCTAAATGAACCATAACCAGCTCCAGCTTTAGCTGCTGTAGAGTCCAATGGAAGYGAGTCGCCAAAACAAGCTGTGTTGATCCGAGTCCTGTTGAGCTCCGATTCTAGCAGCTCACTGCTACACTGTTGGGCGAGGGCCTAACAACATATAACACAGCCAAATTCAGTAACAACATCCTCATTTTTTGTGTAAAAAGAGACAAAAAGGAGGGGCTTCTTACGATCAGCTCATCTGGTGATACGCCGTCATCTGCAAGCAAATCGTCACTTCCACGTGTTGCACGGCGACGATGCTTTGGAGTATCACTGGCTTCGGACGAGCTCTCGGTGGCTTTCTCCAATATTACTCCTTGTAATGACTTGAGAGATTCACCCGCATCGGGAGTGAAATACTGGTTTAATATCGTCTCCAAGTATTCAAGCTGCGTAAGGCATGTGTCAGATTACATCATTGTGGTATTTAATAATATTGCTGAGGAGATTGTAAAGCATGGTACCATAGTCCGTACAAAATATGGATTCTTATATCATTCTATTCAGCAAGAAAGATATAAAAATCCTCGTAAGTTTTCACTTACCAGAATATTTGTTATAAAATTGGCAAAAGACAACCCTGTGACAAGATATCATAGAAATCGCAATACTTTTCCATTTTTGCGAAAGAACATTTTTTATCAAAAAATTTGATTATCACTGGTTGGTTACAAGTAACATCAATTAAAAGATTAAATTTTACCTCAAGCATGAGCTGGCAGAAACCATTTGCATCCAATATCCTTATATCAGTGTCTTTATGTTCATGAAAAAGGCTGAGTAACGTGTCAATTAGGCCTTCGACGAGAACACGAAGTATCTTGTCCAGCAAGGGTTTACAACCAGCAGAGACCTGTGATCAAAGTTCAAGCCCATATTCAAACTTTGATTTGCAATCACAGTAGCAATTCGCTAATTGTGACCATATAAATAATCTTAGCTACATAAAGAAAAAAAAATCCTCCCTGCATGTGATAAGTAGAAAAGGCAACAAAATTTACCTCTGCATGCACAGCTACAAGAGTGTGCAGTAACTCCACAGAAGCATCCCGCACACCCTGCAAAGCACGATGGAAAGTTAAAGACCGTAAAAGCATACTCTCAAGGACTAAATATATGATTCCTCACTTTCACTGCAGGTGCTCCACCCCATTGTACTCCAGCATCCAACAAATAGTTCACAGCAGCTGTTCTAATGTGATTTGCCTGGAACAGGAAGCAAAGAGCTGCTTGAGTTTTCCAACGGCTTAAAGCTAATCGGTATTCTAAAACGTGTCAGCTGATCAAGGAGGCCGAGCAACCTTCTAGCACCTGATTGCTCAACTGGGTATTATGCAGGGCCCAAATAAATCAGAGCCTAAGTGGATGCATTGCAGTTCATTTAATAAATAAATATATATGTAAACAGATGACTATTAACATTTACATACTATTTTATTTTTGATATAATTAGTTTTCAAAATTAGTAAATTCATTGACTCATTAATACCATTACTCGGACTGGGATTATTAACTCCACGTTGCAAAAATTGATTAATTAATACAACTTGGATAAAAGTGAGTAATACCGGCTTAATCTTTAGAAATGCTTAATTTAGTTTACTTGTTCATTGAAGTGGTGGGTGCAGCTTAACATCTAAGTGCCCAATTATACAACCTGATCTAATCAAAGTGTTATGGGGTATCTAAAACCTAGCGGCCTAAGCAGGGAATTTATTAATATACTGAAGCTAAGAACATAAGGGCAAGCAAAAGGGAACTAACAATCTTTTGTTTACTTCTAGGATGAGAAAATCAGATAAAAAGCTATCCTACTGAAAACAGAAATAGTCAAGACCAACATAGATCACTTCCTAATATCCAAGAGGATATGTTAGACTAAGTCAACTAGTCTAGTTTATATTATTAATATTGTCTAGGGTCGAAAGTGTAATTAGTTTTACCTATATAAGGTGTATCAGATTATTATTATTTTTCAATTAATACAATCAATATCAAGTTTTATAGGATATGATGTAACCCGATAGTTAGTGTTAACTATGTGAATCAATCTTAGCCCTTAATCCTTGAAATCTATGGATTAAATTAATCACAACATATTTGTAATAAATGAAAAACTGAATAAAAGTAAACATAGGTGAAAATTCTTGAACAGTGGTATTTGTGGAAAAGATCATGGCATATGAACACCTACAAACAATCTTATTGAAGACATATGAACACCATATGGTTATGAATGCATTCTTATGAACACCTATGAGCATATTCTTACAAAAACCTTATAGTTATGAACATATTCTTATGAACACCTATGGACATCAAGTAATAATTTGGGACATCTCATTAAACACCATAAAAGTAACTTACATATAAAAATTATCTATTTGCCCTTCATCATTAAATCAAACATTTGAAATAACCTCTAATAAAGGATGAATCATATTGGTCCAAGAACTGAATCTATGAAAGCACTTTGAAGTAAYAGTTGCATAGCAGATGACTGAACTGGAAGCAATATAGACCAAGTAGGGTTCACACTGATACTGGTCAAACCAAGTGGGGAACCCATGACACTTCTGAAAAGAACATCAGCATGTGTTCAATGGAAACCGTGGAGGGAACACATAAAAGCAAATAACCTTAGGTCTTCCTTGTAGAACCATCAAATGAAGTAGCATCTAACCACCCGTCCGTTTCCATTAACTACAAAACCTCAACAAACAATACAAAGCTAAGGTCTCATTCACACTGCCTCTTCAACAAAGAATTGGTATTTCRCACCTCCAGAGAACTAAGAAAATTCAACACAATACTCTTTAACACTTCCTAGTTCCTACTGGATACGATCATATGTAATTTTCCTTTTCAGATATTATGAAGGTTATTCAGATAGCAATACATGGAACTCCTCTCTTCAAGGCACTGTCGTTCTATTTCTATTGACTCATCACATAGGACATGAATCTACTACTATCCATAAAAACATCAGAACTCAGAGAAGAAAAAGAATCCCACCAAATAAAAAATCAATACATTCACAATATGGCATGCACATAAGTTCTACACAAKGATTAAACCCATATAGGATCGCCGTACAGTCAAAACAGCTAATAACATCAAGATTAATTGATAACTATCAGAAACAAGAAAGGTTAGGCACATGTTTGATGAGATTATTTGCATAATCCTGTGAAAGGAAAAACTTGCAAGTGAATTGAGTTACAGATCTTGTTCTACACCTTWGCAATMGTATATTGTGCAAGGACTTTCTCTTCAAGCCCAGAGAAAGACCTAACCAAATCTTCCATATCATTGTCCTCATCATCTTTCACCCTACAAGAATTAAATATAYAACTYCATTCAAACTTGGAAGCATCAACACTGGACACAACCACATATAGCCAAGAATAAGCTAAACAATGACGMTTGGAAAATGTTAAACAACTCAAAATTTGTTCGATAAAAAAAGTCAAAAACATAAGCTACCACCACCTAATAGATTAAATGGTTCCTCGAAGCTGATAAAATTGTGAGTATAAAGTGCTTTACAAAGATGGCATAGAGAGAGAATAGAACATTTGGACATACGAAAAATAGCATATCATGCACACATGAGCTTGTCCAACAGAAAGCACACTGCCACAAAATGTTCAGCCAGCAAGTCTGCCATTTCTTTGATGAAAAATAATGGTGATGGTAACATTGTTAAGGAAACTAAACCATATTAATGTGACTTAATTTTTCACATTCAAAAAACCACATTGACAAAAATATGTTTTGTCCATGGAGTATAGCTATCAGCCTAATTGAGTTGTGGATTATGTTACTTTTAAATTTATACTCCAACCAACCATTTAACATGCAACAATTGGGATGTCCCATATTCATTGCAATATTTCCCTCTTTGGTAAAACTAAAATTAGAATTACCTACTTCTCACAGTCATCATCTGAAATGATTTTGGTCCAAAGACCCTCCCCCCAAAAAAATAACAAAAAACTGTATCATTGAGGGTTGTTTTAATAGTCAAACGCTTGTATTGAACCACATGTTCTGCTCTATCAAAACCTTATGAACTCTGTGGGACAGTACTATACAACAATTACCCCAGATATTAATTGCATGAAAAGGATGAAAGAGCATCTACACAAACGCACCTGGTCTGCATCCAGATGTGTTTGTATTTATCGTGCATTTCATGAGAAAGATCATCCTTGCAAAATCCAAGGTTACTCAAGACCATCAACAGCTGTTGGTGTGGATGAGTAATACTTCCAGGGAGAGGATCAAATGAATTTTCTTCTAGATCAAGAGGATATCCATTTTGGAAGGATGGGCTTTCTTTATATGATCTATTCTGACTGAGCTTGCTTCCAGTCTGCTCCAGATGACCTAATTATGTGCATCATAGGGATGGATCATAAGTTAACAGAATATAATTGAATAACAGGCAGCAAGTAATCGTGTCCATACCAGCAAAATCAAGCAAACAGTTCAAAAATGAAAGCCTAACAGATTCTTGAGTTTCTTGAAGCAGCATAAAGGCGTCTTCTGACTTTGTTGCTTCACTCCCTAAAGACTGCATCATCCTGGAAAAAAGAGAGTTGCCAAGCAAGCTGCTCATAAACAAACTTTTGACAAAGCAATCAGAATATATTAATAGTTACGTAAACAAGATCTAGAAGCCAAAACACAAGCTCATACAAGCCACGTCATCTTTATCCATGAAAAGCCAAGCTCCCAGGTGGGCATAAAAGAAGTGGAAAGAAAGAGACTAAAATTTGATCTGAGTTAGATATGGTAACTACAAACACAACTAGAAAACATGATTAGAATTCAACAGAACTTTCAATAACACCTGCCAAATACAGTTACATTTCACCCCAACTGTTCATCATTACACTACCTAATTCACCATCAAAATAAACATTTTGTTAACAGTCTCTGTCCCAAATAGAATTTGAATTATGCACAGGCATATCTGGGTAGCAGCTCATGAGTCATGACAACCACAAGTCATATTCCAGTCACACCTATGATAATCCACCAAGACAATGCGATATTACCTATGACGTTTACACCCAACAACAATTGGGAAAGGAAGATTAGAAGAAAAATGGAACCAAACCAAGTATGAGAATTTCTACTTAAGATCGCATAGATTAAAAACTAGAATCAACCTGGTTAAAGTTAAACCACTGTGCTTCTTGAGCAAGTTTTTTTTTTTTTTTTTTGATTAACCTGGATATCTAATCCGCTATGCGAGCCGACTAATCCCAGGGCGACCACCTGCTTTGCAGATAGCCCGGAGTCACCGCAATTGAACCTCCGTGGCCACAAGGGGATTTTTATTCCTCCTTGGAAGTTTTTATCCATATTACTACCTTACGATMATGTAAGACATGACTAGGGTTAGAAAATGAGGAAACTAAAAATCAACTAGGATCCCAGCAAGTCCCACCTCATAGCTGTAGGTTCTCTTGAAGTTCACATACCATACTTCCTTTGGCTCACAAAACGATCTATATCTCTAATCCTGGATGGTTTCATACCCAGGTTGGTTCACTCGACAAACAAATTAACAAACTATTCAGTCATTCAATGATCAAAACCTTGGGGAATTACAACACCATTACATTGAAGACTAGAAGGCTAAAACTTCCATGATGAGAAATAAAATATAACAAAGTAATCCTGGATAATCAATATCACCAAGTATGGAGAAATATGCATCTCTTCTTGCCCAATTAAAACCTAACTTAATCCCAAAAAGATTAAAAAAAAATTACTTCCTTCCTGGATATGTGATCTCCATCACCTTTCAAAAGCTCTTTCCTGCTACTTACCGAAGCCATGGATGATAATCCTCTTCGGTGGACATTGTCAGCTTCTGGTATAAGTTAGTGTTAGTATACGTTATTTTTTGTTAGGTTTTTTAAGTTATGTTATACAAGAATTCAGGTGTGTATCATTATTTCATTTATTAAGGATTCTCCTGAGTTATAATAATTCAATCATAACCAAAACATGGTATCATAGCTAAACACTAGTCCCTCTAAACGATTTTGACTCCTACAGAAGCCCTACTACTGCTGTTCATCCGACAGCAGTAGTATGCTTCCCAGCCATCAACAGCAAGAGGTTGTTGCCAGCCACACACCAGCCTGTGTAATTTAAGATCTCAACCAGAAGCCAATGTTATCTAACAGAGACTCWCTGGCCGGAGGTAAATCTGTAGTACTGTACAGGGCTRACCACAACCACTGGTGCTCCAGACATGCTCATCCTGCTCCTCTGCCTGCCTAGTGGATTAGCATGAACAGATTTTGCACGTTTCACCTGATCAAAACAGGTCAGCTCCCATTTCAAGTGATCATCCTGGTTTGTATGTAGAGCCGCCAACTTGCTTCTTTCCTTTTGCATTATCATCGCACTGACACTAGATGCAAGTCAGGCCACCAGTAGTGGCACCACCTYCTCCAGGGATTTCCTTTTTATCACCATCCAACTTCTGTCAGGAGTATCAGCTCATTCATGTTCATTGAATCGGTTGTGGGAGTCTTCTTGGTAGTTACTCTTTGTCTAGCACCCTGCATTGGAAGTGAGATCCTCAGCTCCAACACTCTTACACGCCCTCTAGTCACCAGAACTCAGGTCTTGGGAGTGGAGAGTTTTTTTGGGAACTGATAAGATGATAGAGTGCAACCATTGCAGGAAATGAGGACGCATATCCAAGGTTTTAAAAAGAGGAATTGGGACTCGAGGCGTTTTCTTCCACGCCCTGAGGCGTAAGCCTCGAGGTGGTCCGAGGCGTAAGCAGAACATGGTAAAACAAATAAAATTCATAAATACTAAAAGTAAGCAGAACATAATTCCATACCAAACTTTAAACGTCATAGATTCATAAAATACTAGTTATAAATCTAAAAACATATCAATCTACAACTTATAGTTCCCCGTAGCATGATCAAGTTGTATAGCTCCACAATCTTATCCATAATCACTATCACTTTCATCTTCCAAATCCACAGAAAACAGAAAAATAATACAGAAAACTGAAAATAATATAGAAAACAGAAAACAGAAAAACAGAAAAGATACAAAATAACATACATAACACATTATACATATAGAAAATACATTATACATGATATAGAACATATATACTTAGACTGAAATATATATATATATATATATATTTATTTATTTATAATATAATATAATACATTATAGATAAACTAAAAATATGGACACAAACTAAAAAGAACTTACTTTTTAGGTTGGCTTTTGAGATGAATATCTTCTTGAGAGAGGAAAAAGTAAGAAATGGAGAAGAAAAAAACAGGGTTTGGAGAGGCGTGCGCCTCAGAAACGCCTCACACCTCAACGCCTCAAGGCACCGCCTCACCAATTGAGGCTTAAGCCTCGTCCAGGGACCATGAGGTGCCGCCTCATGAGCGGTTTTGGACCGCCTCGCCTCGAGGCTCAAACGATTTTGAAAACCATGTGCATATCATATACAATGCCTTATTGAATGCTTACTGTGCCTTAGACTAGCCTCCTTGATTGGGAGCCATGAGAATCCGACCACGTGAACCACCCCAAGAAATAGATCGCTTAAATGCTAAGTTAGTCGCATAGCCTATTCAGTGTAGCAGCAGACTCCCTTGAGGTGTAAGACGTTCTAGAATATATCCTCTTTTATCAATGTGCACATCAGGATGCTAATGATGTACCATATGTGAGCAAGACAAATATATTAATTGACTACTGACAGCCCCATTGACAAAACATATATATACCATCATGTTAGACGAACAGTTGTAGAAAACACAATAAAACCACAGTGATTGGAAAGACAACATACAGTCCATGCATGATAAGATATTTAAACTTACATATCTATCTGATCCATTGCTGTCGCCATAACTGAACGGAATGCTAAAGGCAAGTGAGAAATTGTGTATGAAGATTTGTTTCTTTCTAGAACAGACACAGGGATCCATGATTCGTGTTTTGATATTTCTTCGGTTGAAGCCCTCATCCATGAACTAAGCCTTTGTATGTAAATTTTTGTGATATCATACTGAAGTGTCCGCAAAGCTGCAACTGTTATCAGAAAATGGAATAGTCAGACTGATCCGATAAACACAAAAGGCTGTAGGAACGGAAAAGGTCAAGAAACCTGCAATCGACGGTGCTGCTTCTTTTGCTTCAAAAGCTTCACATGCTTTAGATATAGCTGTTATTGCGTCATTCATATATGGCTGAAGAATATTCGACTCTTCAAGATCAAGAAATGTGTTGTGAACCTGAATAATTAATGCCACACTTATTTAATCACATCTTCATCAGCAAGACTGTAGGGGACGAAGAATCAAGATAATGCATCTTTCACCAAACAGCTTTAAGTGAATGATTTATAACAAAAACATGAAGAACAAATTAAATTGCTAAGCATGAAAAGTTCACACCTTTTTTATTTTAATTATTTTTTTCTCGAAAATCTATACGTTGAACTAGAAAGTCTCATTGTTCTTCATATTATGTTCGTAGTTGTTAGAGTACTTTATTCTTCAGAAAAGTCTACACATCTTGATATTTACCAAAAGTAAAATCTGGATTTGAAGTCAGTTATTACCAGCATCTGGACGAGCCCCATATGTAACAAGTTGGCCATGTTTGACACATATGTACCAATAATAGTAGTAGAGATACAGCAAGCAACTATTTTCTTAGTTTCTCTTATTTACTTGGTCTGTGTTCATCTGTATCAGTTGGACAAGATCATCTTCATCTTGTGCATTCTATAAAACGAGCATTCCACTATTGAAAAAAGTATAAGCAAGAATCTCAAGCTTAAACACATTTATTTCTTCGCTTATCATTTACTAGGTCAATATTTATCTTGATCACTTGCATCGGATTGTCAAGATCTCTTGCACTCCATAAGGTTATTGCATTGTTGAATAACACATGCATTTTAAGAAATCTGTTTTCCAGTTACAAAGCATAAGCAAGAACTGGAGCTTAGACACAATCTTCCCGAGTCATAAATGCATGGAAACAAAAAATCTTGTTAAAGCTTATTCACCGAATCACCATGCATGGAAAGAAGGCATGTAGTTTATCAATAAAATTTGGACATTCATAACTAATGGTAGAGCTCAACTCTTTGAATCTTGTTAACCATGAAGATGGACTGCTGTTTAATTAAACAGACTTGTAGCTGTGGGAGAGAAATGAAGTCACATATCTTGTATTAGTTTTGAAAAGATTACTTAATTGAAATTCTGCAATTCTTTTAGCTTCTTTTAGGATATTCAATCTCATGAATAAATGATATTTGTCAACCGATGCAAAATTATCTCAAGTTGTGTACAACTATTAACCCTTGCGGTTTGATGGAATCTTCAAAATATGTCAAGAACCTGATTTCAATATTAAAATTAAGCAACAATGTCGTATGAGTGTGATATGTTCCATTAAGTCTGCCAGCATAACTAATTTTCTTATTTTCTGCTGAACAGTTTAAGCACCAGGAACAAAAAACACCATGCATACCTAACCAAAGGTTATTAGAGTTAGCAAAAGCAGACATAGCTTATTAGAACGTTTCCCATCATACATATGGGCATTAAGCATTAGCTTTTGGATTATGTATTGGACATCCCTCTAGATTGAATTATTTTGTTCTCCTATCCTTCACAAGCTAATTTCAATTCAATTAAGTTTCACTGGATATAAGTTCAATTGAAAGTTAAAGTGATGGAAGAAGAAAAACGAAATATAGAGACAAGTTGACCTAACATAGATGTCCCACTGTCAAATCAGATTCAAACATGATCTACTCCTGGAGAGACCGACCCTGGTTTATCCCAAAATTTTCAGCTATTGGTATCCCTAGGCTCCCAGGTGGACTTTATCTTTGGCTTATCACTAACTCTCGTATAAGTCAGATCATCTCCAATGGTTACAGCAAGAAATTACTCTTTTAACATTCAATCTCCAAAACATGGTGAGATTATCATATCAAGAAGCCACATTTTCATAAGGTGAACATGCATTCCAATTAAGAAGTCACTTGAGAACTAGATTCATATTATAGCGTTCAATCACACACCATGCCCCCCTTACAAGGTTGAAACATTAACTTTAGACTAAATTTTGTGTATATAAGCTATTCCTGCAAATCATTTTAACATACACAACAACCTCATAATAATAGTCAAGTTCTCATAATATGATAAAAGTTTCCTTAAAGTGACAAAAGAAAATCTACCTTGGATTCATATGCAGATATAGTATTTTGTATCATGCCAGACACTTCATCAAGAGAATGACTTGAATATTTGTTGTCTCCCATCTTTTCCTCGGTTTTTGTCACTGAAGTAGTAATATTCAGTTCAGCAGTGACTTGGGAAGACTGTTGAAGAGTTCAGGTCAAAAATATGGATAAATGTATCAGTATAGATATGAAAATGAGAAGACCATCTCATGAGATCAGCAGAAAAAAGGAAGGAAGGTTTGCATGGACCGTGACAAGTAAAACGTAATATCAAGTTCACACGTGTCAAGGTACTGAAAAAGATGCTTATGTGTGTGCATCAGCTACCAGTTATAACAGATCATATGGACCATTTTTATAAGCATATTTGTGAAAATACTGTCTCGTGATGATTTAATACATGACATATAACGCTCAAAAGTAAAGTTACAATGTGATTCCATCACATAATTATTAATGGGCTTTATGGGGAACATGTTTTTTTTGCTTTGAGGGGTGGTTGAGTAGCAGGAATCATTTTCTTTCACATGGAAGATTGTTAAGTACTCATAGGGCAAGGAAAAAACCTTGAGGCGTACAGGTAATCCTGCTAGGTATTGGATTCTTTATGAAATAACAGTGCTTATTGTGTTGAAAAAGGAGTATCATGACTGACTTGGTCTGCACTTAGGAAGGTAAATAAACCAAAATCAGTTTTTCAACTTCTATCCTTATATGTAACATAGACATTGAAGAAACGTTTTGATTCCCTTTCACCTCATTTGACCAGAAATCGATGCCTGAATTGTCCTTTTAAATGGAGAGCACAAACATGACTTGAGGTATACTTTGAAATAACAATACTTACAGAAATAAGGAAAAGCCATTGAGGTGTGATAAGAAGGTGCTGTTTGTATAATATTGAATGGCATTCATATAAGATATATAGCATCAGTGATATATTATTAAGTAGAAGGTATTTTAGCGCATTTGTCCATCTAGGGCACCAACCATGTCCATGAAACTGAAGAAAGGGAACAAAGTGGTGAATGAATATCTATATGCACTCAGACGAATAAGTGAGAAGCACGTGATCTATCTCAACACTGTAGCACAAATCATGCAAAAGCAATAACTTACTTTAATAAATTGAAATTACCTTTGCAAATTTCCCACTTGAAACAGAAAGGGCAACCTTCCAGAAGGCCGGTATGTGATGGACAAGCACAGCAGTTAATCTTCGTATGTACCTTCCTCGAAGAGCATCAAGCTCTTCAGCACCTGAATCTCTTGGTTGTGAATCAACCGTCAACGAATTATTCATATGAGGGAGAGGCATATCAACATCACCCTGATGGTGGTACATGTAAAAAAGTTTTAAGATCGTAAGCTAAAGGGCAGATAGATAGTATATCCACCAAATAAAAGGAAAGAACTGTTGCTCACAGATTCGTTTAATTCATGCTGAATTTTCCTCCACTTTTCATCCGATAGTGCTTTCTCACGTAGTTCATTTTGCAAGTTCTCTATTCTTGTTTCATGATCAAATGTGCACTTTTCAAGCAAACCTCGGATCCTATGATTCTGATAAATAGACAAAAAACAAGGAGAATACAGCATTTACTTCTTGTCAAGGCGAGTCACTTTTGCTGAGGAGCAAATAGCAAGGAAGGTGCAACAAATATCATTAAGCATCTTATTGTTCCCTAAATCATAAGCACAAACTATTCTGCTGACCATGCTTGGATGGAATTTGCACCCTTGCCACTGCTTAATGTTGGCTGTGAAATTTGAATAACCAGATGATTTTGGAAAATTTGCGGAAAGAAAACATCGATAAGCAACCTAAACTCGAAACTGAACACTATAGTGCGTACGCATGTGTAAGTTTGATTTGTGTTCTTTAAATGTGCATTTGCTTCTACATACATGCCTATATAGGTACCTACATACACAATATTTCCTAAAGTCAAAATTAATAACTGCTCCACATTGCTTAAGCTTTTCATTCCCGTATTGAACTTGAAAGCCATTGTAGGGCTTAAAAGTCGAAGAATGTCAACTACTAGAAGTAATTGTATGTAATATATATACATGTATAGGTATATATGAATCTATGAAATAGATACACATGTTTGTGCGTGTATAGGTATATACAGATGTGTGTGTATGCAAGGTATAACACACATACTTCTCCTAGTAGCTATAGGACTTCAAAGTTGAAGGAAAACTATTAGAGGAAGTATATGTATATGTGAATGTATATGTATGTATTTATGTGTATGTATATATGTGCGTGTGTATTTAAGTATGATTACCGTATGAGATTTCAAAATTAAGCTATAGCCTGTATAATCACAGTACTATTGTTGACAATTGTTCCAAATTACAGTCGAGGAAGGCTATAACCAGAAAGTTATATCAAGCTTCTCACCTGTATATTTAGATAATGACGTATAGGATCTGACTCGGGTTCCAGCTCCAATAAAAGTCTCACGACATTTTCAAGCTACAAGAAACATCATAAAGATCCAATTGGCAGTTAAGAAATACAAAGTTTGTTCAGAGCCAGAAGACGAATGCCAAACACAATTGATACAAGCATGGAGATGACAAGTGAAGAAGACTAGAGAAAGATAACTCCAATATGCAATTTTGTCATGCTACAGAAACGTGATTATAATTGTTATTGATTTCTGGACTTCTTAGTGATTATAAGCATATTGATTTGTGTGATATCATCTCTGTAGTACTACGTTAATCCAAAGCATGGGCTTCATCAAGAGGCAATACCATTGCTACCTTCAATTAACCAAGTACTCTTGTGAAATTATAGAGAAAAATGGATCACTAAACAAAAAAGGATTAATAGAATAGACCAACCAAATTCTATGTTGTAGATTTTATAGGTACGAGAGCAGTTTTTGAAAATATTTATCATCTGAAATTAATGCACCCCAACCAGAAAAAATTGACTTCACAAGAATCCTGAAAATCAAAATCATTTTCTTGCATCTCGACCCACAGAATAACATGTACTGGATGAGTATGTATTGACCTTACATTTGTTAGGTCTATCTGTGGATCTTCCATAGACCGGTAAAGCATGCCTTTGAACTCGTGCATCACCTTTTCAACCTCCTCAAGCACACGTTTCAATATTCCAACCTGTAAATTGCAAAAAATAACGACAACAGTTATAACTAATGAAGACCACACCTCGAAAAGGAAATACAGTGAATTACATATAAATGAACCTAGAAATGTAATTATACAAATCATTCATGATGTCTAACATAACGCTAAAAGTTTCTAGAAGGTTCTATATGCATAGGTCAATAAAAGTAAATTGAAGTGTAAAATTTAGATGATTCACTTCCTTAACATTCAAGCATGATGAATTATGTAACATGCATGATGTACCACTTTAGGAAATAAAGGCCGAAGTTATCACTCAGATGCTACAGAGGCAGAGAGAGTATGATTTTTCACTTGATGCTAACCAACTGATCCTTGACATATCCTATGTCTTCACATAGCAATTCAAAAACAAAGCATGTCCGTCTAGCCCTTAATGAGCAAGAAACTCCACTGCGGCTTGTAGTACTTGCAAAAAAATTAAAAAGAGATAACCAGCTACAGCTACAGATGGTGAAATATCTTCGCCATGTGTAATAGGAAACATCTTATCTATATTCTCCCTAAATTCCCAGAAGTCTCCTTATTTGATCGTGCATGAATACTAAACTCTTGTATTTGAGTCCCCTTGGCACTGGTTTAATGCATTGGAATATCCAAAAGACAAGCTTGGATATCGTCAAACAACACAGGATGTGAGAAAAATCACGCACAACCAGAAGGACTACCACTGTTTAACTGAACAAACTAACTGTACAAACGAAATGGCTGGGAATCTCTGGCCATTAATGATGATGCTTGAGATTGATCAAGGTGAAAGCTGTAGCAATAGAGAGGCAAAGCAAACTGAAAAAGGACCACCGAAGAGTGGTATCAAAGAACCAAACATATATTACCATGTAAGATCTTTTTCCAATTTAAAACAAAGGCACACAAAAGAGAAAAGAAAAACAAGGAGAGGAATTACTTTAAACTAACCAGGTTACTAGAACCGACTTGGACAAAGAAAGAAAGAGAAACACCTACCATGAAATTATATCAACTAGAATAACCACAAAACCACCGACAAAAACCATATCTCTTCTCCCATTATTGATGCTGTAAAGACAATAAGAAATCTAACCCAAATGAGGATAGATTGAAAGAAAAAGTTACCTCTATGATGTGTGGGGAAGTGAACAAAAAACCGACAAAAAACTAACAGAAACACAGTAGTAGCGAACCTAAAATAATACATGAAAGTTGGGTCATAACTGTATTTGTTAGAGACCCCTCAACTAACAAAATTCTATATCTCTTGGACACATGCTTGCAACCTAAAACAAAATCACCTACTGATAAGATCTGAAACAACCAATATCCATGTCCTTGGTCGAAAGTGATGCAAAACAATAACTTTGATCCATTTGTCCTCTTAAAAATGATGTAGGAATTGCGGCTATGATGCTGTGCGAGCTTATGCCTATTTCCTGCGACTTGGGCTTGAGATAGTTGGAAACAAAAAGAACTCTCCTCTGTTCTTCATTTGTACAGGTGGCATGCCTTCAAAGGCTTAGTAAACTTCTGACCGCTGATAATGGAGGCAAGCAGCTGACAGTGGCATTAACCAGATCTTGATTTGTTTCAATGAAAGGAGAGCAAGGAGCCAACAACGAAGAGTTTAGTGTACGTGGGTAAAGGAGGAGGAGAAGTAAAGAAATAGTGGTGATGGTGGCAGCTGGTTTGATGGCTTCCGAACCGCAGGCATGACTTCACTGGCCTGAGGCAGTTGGTTTGAAATTTGAATATGCTTGATGTGCAGATCTAAAGAGGGAGAGGTTATATAAGGGAACAAATGTAAAGAGAAAGAATGTATATCAAGTAGGGGATATATCTCTGAGAGCCAGGGGGGGTGCTTCTATCTAATTTATTATTTAAATGACACAGGAAAGATAGGGAATATACATATTGCAAAACCAAGATGCAGAAGTATGAGATATGCGTCACGTTACATGATACCCAATCATTTATCCTAAATTCCTACAGTATATTAACATCAAAAATCCATTTATCCCAACATACACAGGGCAAAGTATTACATTATTAAAGAAAACTTAATTTTACTTTACAATTAAGAAACCATAAACCTAAATTTGCAAGTCTTTTTTTCCTTTCGGATAAATTCAATTAACAAAGATTGTAGGTGATCAAAGCCTCAAATCTGAATCACAAAGCATTAGGCATAAGCTTAGAGACATATACACATATATAATTAGTAAAATTGTTTTACCTTCATTCAAAATGATTGGTTCCTAATAAATGACCATGTAAGTGAAGCTCTGAAAATAATGATAATGATGAATATATATATATATATATATATATATATATATATAAGATCCTACGATCACCACAGCCTCAAGTTATGGAAACACAATAGTTCCAAGCACGTAAATGAACTTTCAAGGGTGGGCCTTGGAGCAACAGGTAAGGTTACTCCTTGGTGACTGGAGCTAGGGTCATGAAAACAGCCTCTTTGATAAAATGCAAGGAAAAGACTCAACTCCTTGATCCTCACAAAGCCAAGGAGTTTATGTAAATGCACTTTAGAAAGATGTTCAGTTCAGTTACTGTACATGAGAAGGGAGGACAATTGACTTTGCTTTCCTGTACTCTCTGACTGCCAAGTCATATTCTCCCTTATTAATGTTGCCACGAATTGCACTTGGTAAATTGAATAAAGTACGGAACCTCTGAAGCATTCCTTGAACTGACCTAATCTTCTCTGCTTGAGCCTAAAGTTTCCCAAAGAAAAAAAAGAACAAATTTTATCAATTATTGAAATTGCATACTGTTCCACAACCTTAATCCAAAATGTTAAACAATTCCAACCTGTCTTTCAAGTAGGGGTGCAAAAGCACGATTAGCAACTAAAGTAACTCCCTGGATGGAACTATATAAATGAGAGGTTCCACAGCCTTCAGGATCTTCTTCTATTCTTCTCAGTTTTGACTCGATATCTGTAGGATATACCATGGTCATTACTACGTATGATAAATCTTATTTGCAGAATACAATATCTAACATTCTTTGAGAAAAATCAGTGACCATCAAAGCAACTGCTGAAGAAACAACATATTTTACACTGGAAACTATACCATGCCCTAGTTTATGGTAACTTACCATCAATCGTTGTTTTGCAAGAGACAAAGCAATCAAAATTTTCTTTGACCAATTGTTTTCTCTGTTGAGTCCGTCCTTTCAGATCAGTTTTCAAAGCCAACGCACCAGCCTCCAAGTCTGCTGCAGCTGTATCTTGGTGCACCCGGCATAAGAATAATTGTGGATCAAATCTCTCGGAGAAATACATCAATCTATCTGCGTATTCATGTGAAAAAGTATTTGTTAGTATAAGACCAAAAAGGTGCAACAGCTACGCTTTGACCATTTGCTGAAGGACAATACATACATTTTCAAAAGCAATAATACCCACGGAGGCCACTCAATGTTCAATTTCAATTAGACTATCTCTCAGCATTGTCTGCAGGAGCAGCAGTGACATAGCGTGTCGGGCTAGGACTGTTGTAGCTAGAGTTGTGCTTTAATGCCATCCCAATTCCCAAAAAGGGTACAACACAGGCCAATGTGCCAAACCCAATAACACTATGACGACAAATACATATTCAGTGACATGATTATCCCATATCTCTAGCACCAGGCTGAAATTATATTTCAAGCACCAGCCTCCTAGAAACAAGGTACACCTACTTTTTATGATTATTTCCAACAAAATCCACTAGCAACTCTGAATTACCCATATAACACTAATAAATCATGGAATCAGGTTGCAGACAGACAGTTAGATGTCAACTCATATACACCCATCGTCCCAGAATAAGTACAAAGAGCTAGCTGGTTCTCCCCAAAATGCATTGAGGCACCATCCTCGTCATACACAGCTAGATGTCAATCCTAATTCGCTTCCAGTAAAATTCCATCAAGAAATTATCACATGTATAAAGAGCATGCCTTTATTTGATACTAGATAGTAGATACATGTCAGCATGAAAAACCAACAATAAATTGAAGCACCATGACATCAGAGCATCTCCAACAGATTCCCCAAAATGGAGAGTGTAACTTCAAAATCTCTAAAACAAAAATGCATTCAACTCGAATAGATTCTCCATTTTGGAGATTACAACATTGATTATATTGTTAAAATATTTCTTTCATCTAATATATTATTATTTCTCTCTAAATATTTATTTTCAAAGTTTCCTATTGGTAGAAATATATTAAATATTTATTTCTCTCATTGTAATCATTTTTGGGGTGTTCTCCAAATTTGGAGATTTTTACACTCTCTCCTACTTTCTCCATTTTAGAGAAAGGTTTTGGAGCATATGTTGGAGCAATAAACATGCCCAAAATCCCCAAAATCTCTATTTCTCCATTTTGGAGAATCTGTTGGAGATGCTCTCATGCAACATGCTCCACAGTACATGCATGTGATTCAAGAAGATAACTAGATAAAATAAGAAACATCATGTAGTATCACATTTTTCTATCAGAGACAACCGATGAGTACCTCGAACATCAGAATCTACTTTGTCAGACTTGGATGGAGAACTTGCTGTATATTCATTGATCAACCTCAATGTTTTGTTGTCTATAACACTGCCATAAAAATTTATCAACATTAGTATGAATGGTAAAAAGTAGTTGGAACTTTCAGGAACTACTAATCCCTCTGATTCTGACAATAGAAAACAAAGAGGAATCACTATTACTAATACTTCATATGTGATACCAGATGCAAGAACCATCATGCAGAAAAAGTAAAAACATAACTACCAAAAAACAAAAACAGGGGTACAAGTGAAAGTTAGGAAAAAGAAAGGCACTATAGATTGAAGTGGCAAAATCACTTGAGGGCAAAATACTATTTAGGCAACAACTGGATAATAATGAATATTTTTCGCATCCTAAATCTGCTTGACCAAAATAAAAGGCCTATTCATGTCAATAATAGACTGCACAAGATGACAATTCCAACGTCAAGAAACTTACCCAAGTCCTAGAGGATCTACACAGTCCATGCCACGAGGGAAAGACTGTAATTTATTGAGCCCCTTTATTGCCACTGATGGTTTCTTCTCAAACTTTTGAGTTGTTGGAATTGTTCTGGTCTCCCTCATCTCACGGACCCTTCTACCAAGCTGCCACAACATGCAAACTTTAGACAATTCAATTATTGTCCAAAACCAAACTGAAAACACACATCAAAGTAGAAAGAGTAAGCATCTACCATGAATGATCTAATGCATGAAGATCAATTTCCAGTTAAAGAGGAAAAAAATTCTAAAATACAGAGTACATTGTTGTTGGGCTTCCTGAGATCATTCTGCAAATATAACCTCAAAACGAGTCAATAGAATTGGCCCATTTTACATTGGTTGCAGTTGTCAATCTTTAACAGGGGAAAAAAACAATAATAATGAATGAAACATTCACAAAGTTGCCAATGAACTAGATAAATAAGGTTAATTACGTACTAGCCTTGACAGTTGCGGTTGCCCCAGTATTTCATATCAAAGGTAAATGCAATAAGCAAGACGCACAGAAGGATGGCTACCTGTGTGTTTGTGGAAAGAAATGTAATCCTAATCTCTTCCCTGTTTAGTCAAAAACTTTCATTTGAATCATGTATCTCACCAAATGGAGTGAGTGTGCTTATGCCGCATTCCCAATCTTATGTAACTCCTATTGCTTTAATTGTTTGTACTTGTAAGATATGTGTATATATAAGGAGAGACTATATTCACTAGAATCCTATAGCAATTTTTTAATTACATGCAATTAGTTCAATGGTGCACTTGTTAATTAGAGTTGAAAACCCACAAACATAGTTCGGGAAGGAAAACATAAGTCAAAACAGACTTTTAGACTTGCTCCTATAGTCCTTCCAAACATGACTTCACCTAGGTGAGTCAATGGGCATATCACGATCTACATCTGATATGCTCCAACCCATTCAAAGTTGTTCAATCCTATATTTTGAGAAATACCTTAGAATCGTAAATAAAACCTATATTACTCAAAAGACTTGGTACTGCATAATTATTAGTATTGTTGTACCACACAATATTGTAAATATCTTATCCAGGTTTTGCAATAACACTTATATTATATTTTTCATAATATAATTCAAAAGCAACATAAATTCACAAATTGTTTTATAATCAAATTGGAAGTCAATTAGTTCTAAATATCAAGTATAATAATTAATCGATTAATTGGTATCTCCACAAGTGTTGACTAACACATTTTAAACCATTGTTCTATTCTAAATTTTAGAGGATCAATTCACATCAAAGATACAAAAAAGAAATAAACAAAGAAAATCAAAATTAAAATTTGCATCGACATCAAAAACAAGTAATTTTTGGTCATGATCTATCTGATGGATTTGATCACAATCAATGACATATAGACCCAACTTCCATCACTATCTATTTTAAATTTATCCTCTTAATTGTGATTCACTCCTTTTTGTTTTCAAAAACCAATCTACTCACTTCGAACACAATCCCGAAGTTCAAACCAAGTTTTAAGGTATCCAAAACAGATGCTTATTGAGTGACAAGAAACAATCTAAATACAACAACCAACAAAATGTTTAAATTTCAAACATGAAAAATAACTAGAATACAATTCAAAACAGAAAAAAAAATATAATGTTGAAACAAATATCCATCCTAAATAAACTTGATAAATATTATTATAAGATCCGTTTAGAACTTGCATTTCATTAATCAGTTGATAATACGCACACACGAAGCCTCCAGGAATACCCGTTAACTAATTTCTCAATCTGTTATTAGCATTTTATTTAAAAATTCGTTGAGATCAAAATGTTGGAATAATATATTTTCCAAAAATTACCCTTGTTGTTTCCAGTAAAAGAGCTTATAACATGTAGCAATAGAAAAGAACTAAAATGATGGGCCCTATTTAAACTCCATATTTGAGATCCAGTTCTCCCAAGCCCTGGTGTTCTGAGGGACTCACTTCTTCATAGATTTTGAGATGTTTAACTCTTCATGTATCTTAACTAGTTTGGGGTGATAGATGTCTTCTTGTTTTACTGAGGTGGAGATAGGTTAAGGTACACTTAATTGTTACTTCCCTAATGCAGTATTTCCTAGGAAGAAAATTGCGATAGAAGCATTTACAATTTAATAGTGACAAAATCGCCATATGTGTTGGAAGTGTTTAGAATATTGAGACTGATTCTAACGAATAGATAACCTCTACATCTCATCTCGATTACCTATTTATGTGCTTGAGAAGGCCCCTGGGCACTCAAGGTGCATTTAGTTGTCTTGCAACTTATTTAAAATCATTATGTAACTTCATTTAATTTACATACCCAGGCCATCGATGATGCAAGTACTCAAACAAGTAAGAGATGGTTGCTGGGAGTATATATGCTTGCATAACCAATATATAGCTCCTCCATCAAATCAATTAAACTTTCTGAACTTGATCAAATCAGTGTCATAAGCAGACCAAATACTACTACAGTTCAAGGGCCTGCAACATAGCAAGATTTGCTATAGAAGATACACTCCAATATGAGAAATCAAGGGTGATATTTCCATTCGTTAAAAATAATCCCTCTATACTGAAATATATAATAACATGTTCTCTATATGCCATTACTAACCTGATTCCACCGTTATAACTGACATAATTCCACTATTGTAACGATTGATGAGAACTTGGAGATTACATGAAACATATTGCTGCATATACATACATTCTAGAGTTTACTAATCATCCATACCTCTGTTTCATCCACTCGCTTCCAAGAATCAGGCTCCTCCCCAACCCAAAGTTTATCATCATCCTTCCCACCACCTCTACCCGTGCCTCTGGCCCGATTCCTGGCCCCGACCTTCCGATCATTAACCGAATCTTCATCCCCAGAAGAAATACTAAGCATTTCCACCTCAGAGTCCTCATCATCCTCCGTGGCGTTCCGACGATGTTGTGATTTTGTGGTAGTCATAGGATTAGGGTTTTTAGCAGACCTATGATTTGACGGCGGTTGAACAAAATTGACTACGGGTTTTGAAGATCTCGATTGAGATGGCCTTGTGTAGTTCACATCCCTTTGCGATTGCTCTTTCAACGCCATCTGCAACAGCTCATCATCATCACTGTCACTCATTTTGAGAATTTAGTATCTGGATTTGAAGTTAGAACTACTCCAAATTCAGCTAAATTGAAGTAAAAGAGTTGGGCGATGCAGGAACAAAGAAGAAGATATGGATCTCAGTTTTTGCTCTCCTCGGATATCCAGGGGGTGAACTTTTTTCCAGGAAGGAAGAAGGACTTCGTCTCAAGTCAGAGCCGTCCATCATTTTTTGGTTTTCTACAATTAGACCCTCAATGTTTTGAAAATGTTCAGTTTTACCCCCATAATATTCACATTATGATATTTACAAAGGAATTTGACCCAAATAGCAAATCTCCATAATCCCTCGTTCAGAAGTCGGATTTACTCAAATGAAATTATACAATTGCGTAATCCACTGTTCATGATAAAATAATCAGAAAAATTAGGACATTATGCAACTTTTGTAATGCTTATCTGGTATGTTGATTGAGATCAGGAGTCGACATGGGTTGGACTATGTTGTCTTACATAGTCACTTATTGCACAACCTCAGAACCAGTATACAAGGCAACATGTGCTACGCAATTCAGTCTACGTGAACTTCAGATCTTAGTCAACATGTCATATCGGCATTATGAAAGTAACATCTATGCAACTTGTGTAGTGCCTAGCAAAAAGTACCTCTTAGGGGTTTGAAAATCACTTAATATAAAATACGATTACAATGAAGCCAAACAATCATAAATACTTTTATCTTGTATTCGTATAATACAAGTGAAGCTGGTATATCCCTAAATTTATGTTAAATTTATATATATATATATATATATATATATATATATATAGAGGAGCGTTCAAATGAAAACCCTCTCCATTTGTGTAAACCGTGTAAACCAATCTCAACCATCCATTTTCTTGATCAATGGTCAATATTTGTAGGCGTTATTTATGGAAATTAAAGAAAAATAAAAAATAAAAATTCAATTTATTTAATCAGTAAGGGTAGAATGGTAAACATAATTAACAATTCTTAAGCTCCTAATCCTATTCTATCCGATTGAATCCCGTCTTCATCGCTTCATTCCCCCAAATCAGCCAATCATTTAGATAATGTAATATTTTCATCATTTACTGATCTTATTAAATATTTTGATTACACAATAACTATTTTGATTGGCCTCATTTGATAATGAACTGTATTCATTTTTCTCCAATTCAACATGAAATTATTTTACAATGAGTGCATTTCATATGAAAAGGTTTCATTTTTTATTTTAATGAACATTAATATGTATTTTAATGCACTTTAATTTCATATAAAAACGTTTCATTTTTCGATAATTAAACATGAAATTGTCATATTTTAATGCACATTAATTTCATGTACAATAACATATAATATGCATCCGTTTCATGGTACGATTGGTTCATGTAGAACAAAATCCATTATACATCCATTTCATGATACGTAAATTTCAAAAAGAACAAAATCCATTATGCACCCGTTTCATGACCATTCTAACAACTGAACGGATCAACTTCAGATACAATACAACATGGCTCACGATGAAAGTGATAGATTAATATCGAAACATTTAGAAAATGAAAACGTTTCATGTTTTGAATGGTTCATGTAGAACAAAATCCATTATGCACCATTTCATGTTACGTATATTTCAAAAATAACAAAACCAATGCAACATGGATCACAATGAAAGTGATACATTAATATCGAATTATTTAGAAAATTAAAACGTTTCATTATCATGAAATTATTTCTTAAATTTTTTTGCAATGAAACATTTTCATTCAAATTCTTACATGCAGATTAATTTCATAACAAACACAATCCATTTTGAATTATTTTATTATCTATGAATCTATTTCATTATCTACTTTATTAACTTTTTAAGATTAATCTTTTTCATTACATATTTTACATGAAACTATTTCATTAACTATTTCACATTAATCTATTCCATTATGTACCCATTTCATTATACGTATATTTCAAAAAAAACAAAACTCATTATGCACCCGTTTCATGCTCATACGATGAAAGTAGTGCATTAATCTCGATTTACTTTATTAACTTTTTATATTAATCTATTTCATTACCTGTTTCATGACATTTTCATTAATCTCGATTTACTTTATTAACTTTTTACATGAATCTATTTCATTAATCTTAATTTACTTTATTAACTATTTTACATGAATCTATTCCATTATGCACCCATTTCATGATACGTATATTTCAAAAAGAACAAAACCAATTATGCAACCGTTTCATGACATTTTCACATTTGAACGCAACAACTTCAGATACATTTTTACATGGATCTCCATGAAAGTACTGCATTAATCTCGAATTTGTTAAGAAAATGAAAACGTTTCATGAAAATGAATCTATTTCATTAATTACTTTGCGATGAAATCCTTT